GCGTGTGCTTGTGTGCCCAAGATCCCGAGAGGAAAATGGAGGAGAAAGGATTGGCGTGGCCATCCCCCTGGGGGGGTGTCTGTCTCTCTGTCTCTCTCTGTCTTTCTGGTGAGCACACGTGCCCTGTAGTGAAAACCTCTCCAAAAAAGAAAAAAATAATAATAATTTTTGTCCTGTCTTGAGCTGTTGATAGGTTCATGCACTTACTATTTGAACAGAATCCTAACCTGTTTCCTGGCTTTAAGTTTTAAGCAAAGTTCCTTAACATTTCTTTGATTTATTAAAGTTAAAACTGCTTTTCTTTAAATTAAAAAATAAATTTAAAAATACCTATTTAATTACCATAGTAAGCTATATAGCATCAGCTAGGTGCTACCGTATAGTATATTCATTCTACTCAGAGTTTCACGCCTAAAGTCAGACATGTATTCACAGATAGGTACATACCAGCTGAACTTGCTATTGAAAATAGATTATGTAAGACATTTTGTGAATAAATAAAATGTGGGGGAAAAAGGAAAGGAAGACTACTATAGACACCAGAGATAGTGTGGGAGGAGGGTGGGAAATGGCAGAGGGTGAGAAATAGGGGTAAAATATATTCTGGATGGGAAATCACATTTTGTATGCTGTGATGATGCCCAGGAAATGAATGTAAATTAATTAATTTAAAAAATGTTTCAGAAGAAAAAAGCTCATGGAAATACATGCAATGGAAAAACTATGTATGAATTTCAGAAAGTTTTTTTTTTGAATTTTGGAAGGGATAAAAACAAAATGACAAAGAGATTTCAGATCACCTCCTTCTGCACACTCCTGAACTCTCGGATTGAACTTCAAGTATTTATTCAAAATAAATTCATACTTTAATTGTAAAAAAATTAAATTAAAAAAGAAATCAATCAATCAGTAAATAAACTTGAAAACAGCTTGGTGAGGCTAGAGCAGAGTGTTAAGGTATGGGTGGCAGATGAAGTGGGGAGGTCGGCAGGGGCCACTGTGAGTCCAGACTCCATCCTAAGATAGGCAAGGCCCTGGGGACCGGGGTTGTGGTAGTTGGCCAACCATGGTTTAAGTCCCAGACCTGGTGGCTTGAGAATCATGCAGGGAGTGTGCGTGCGTGCCCAGAATCCCAAGAGGAGAACGGAGGAGAACGGTTTGAGGCATGGCCCTCTCCCACAGGGGTGATTTCTCACTTTCCCTCTCACTATTGTCTCTCTCCACTGAGCATGCGTGCCCTATGACAAAAACCTAAAAAAAAAGAAAAGTAGCCGAGACCCTGCAGGCACCAGCCTCCCTTCCAGTGCGGTGCACCAGGCCCATTTACAGCCCCTCTCCACAGCCCCTGCTCCCCTGCACCCTGTGGTCCCTGCGTGGTTTGGCAGCTCTGCTTCCCATCATGTGATTCCCCTCTCCTTAGATGCTCACCGAGAGCCTGCCTGAGTCAGGCACTGTGCTGGGGGCTCAGACTGGCAAGGCTGGTCCTGCTCTGGGAGAGTGCCCAGGCTCAAGGGGTAGGCAGTGCAGGAAGAAATGACAGCAGCAGCAGGTGCTCTAGGCTTGGGAGAGGTGGAGCTTGCCCACCCAAGGGAAGGTGGGGGATGATGACTCTTGAGTGGGATCTTGAAGGACGAGACACCAGGCCCAGGGATGAGGAGTCAGGCAAAAGGAGATCAGAGAGCACCTAAGGAGAGACTAGAGGTCTGGCTGGTGGGGTCACAGGATCCCTGAGGTCTAGATGAAGGCTTAAGCCCCCTTCCCAGGTAAACTGGCGTGCACACACTCACACACACTCACACACACTCACACAACACACGCACACACACACGGGTGTATTCACACATTTGCAGGCAACTCTGGAGTGTCCTTGGTCCCTCTCTGACCTTGCCTGGGAAGAACGCCCTATCCCCTTCTCCGGTTCCAGCCTGCCGCCTCCACAGCCCTGCAGAGCTCCAAGTGAATGTCAGCTCTGGACTTTGTACCTGTCACCGGAAATTCGCTTGTTTATTAGGGCCCTGGCCTGCACAGCTGCCTGCGGAGGTGTCTGTCCTTTCCAGGGCCGGTGGACCCCTCGCTGGACCCCAGTTGTACCACCACCCCCTGCACTGGGGGTGAGGTAAGGCCTGAACCCTTAGGGTTTTTGGCACCAGCTTGGGAAGATGTAGAATGAGTCTGCCGGCCCTCCACCCTCACTTGCAGCTTCAGCTCCGCCCACCGCCTCCCCAGGTGAGTCAAGCGGCAGCTCTGGCCCGCCCACCTGTCCAGGTTGTGCGGCCCAGCCGGAAGCTGTCTCCACGGACTGTGCACAGTTTCTGAAGGTGGGAGCAGAGGGAGAGACACTGGGGGAGGGGTCCAGGAGGGGGGTCTACACAGATCCTCAGGGGCTCTTGGAGCAAGAAGCTACATGCAGGATGGGCTGTATGTATTTGTGCACATAGGGGTGTGTGTGTGTGTGTGTGTGTGTGTAGGAGAGTGTGACCTGAGAGGGTGGGGTGTGTTTGTGGGGAGGGGGCTGGGCAGGCCAGTGTGGGCTATGAGTTCAGAGGCCTTTTGGGGGAGTGTATATGTACCCTAAGAAGGTGAGTGTGTGTGTACATGTGTATGTGTGCCTATGTGTGTGTCCTTGGGAAGAAGTCATGGGACAGGACAGAGAAGGACTAGAAGTAAAACCTAGAAACACTGAATGGTTCACTTCATTCCAATTTAACAAATTCCCGATTTCTAGGACTTAGTGCCTAGGCCCCCACCCCCACCCCCTGGTCCCCCACCCCGTGGTCCGCCACCGATGAAGCTTGCTAAGGCGTGAATGGGCAGCCCTGTCCTGGCCAGTGCAACCCTCTCTCGGCGCCCCTCCTCCCTCATCTCGAGGCGCGAAGCACTGAGAGGCCAGCTCTCAGCCAAGGTGTAGGTTCCTTAGTGTCCTTGCCCGCAGGCGGCTGCCTGTCTAGTGAGGTGACTGACTGGCAGGACGGTGAAGGGGGTCATGCAGAGGGACCGGAGACAGCCTCGTGGACAGGTGTGGTCTGATCTGGCCTTGAGAGATGGGGCCCAGAAAACTGAGGAGGCGGTGGACGGGGAGCAAGAGAGTGGGTGGGTCGGGAAGAGGGTGTGTCCATCTGTCCCATGGGGGAGGGATGGAGAAGAGGAAGAAGCTTATGGGGGAGGGCCACATGCAGGACTGAGGCCTTGGAGAACATGGAGGAATCTACAGGCAGCCCTGAGGGTGTGGGGAGCTCCAGAGGGCATTTAAGCAGTGAGTGATGGGTCGGATGTGGCTTAGGCTCCTGGTTCTGGGGGATGGCCTAGGTGGGGAGAGGCCAGGTAGGAGATTACAGCAGGAACCCAGGCGCAGGGTGGAGGTGGCCAAGGCTGCAGTGGTAGTGGGAGTGCAGGGTGAAGGGCAGCTTTGTCCAGAAACACTGGAGGGCGAGCTACTGGGGCTCTGTGGGTGGGCGAGGGCATGGTCATGTCCATGCCCCTGAACTAGGGCCTCTCTCCCAGTCCTCCCCTAGCCAGGCTGCCCATCCCGGGGCCTCCTCTGGTCCAGGTGCCTTGTTTGCAGGTACTCTTCAACCCCTAGCGTCGGTGCTCAGCCCCAGACAGCAGATCCAGGTGCCCCTCCGCGGGCTCTCTGATTCAGGTGCTCTCCCCCGGAGCTCCTGAGTCCAGGTGATCTTAATAGCCCAGCTACTCCCTTAATTCTGGGCTCCTCCTCAAGGTGCCCTGAGCCCATGGTGATTCTCCTCTGCCTGTGTCATCCTGCGAGCCTCCCTCTGGGGCAGGGTGTGTGCCTGCTGCAGGGAGAGGTGGAGGGACAGAGATTTGCTGGAAGGGCTGAGGGTAGAGGTGAGTAGTGCTAGGGCCGTGTCTGGGGCCGCTGTCCTGGGGGAGCCTTGCAGTCTTCCGTTGTGTGGTCTCCACTTCGGTTGGGTAACTCCAAGCAATTGCAGTTATCCACCCTCTGGAGCTGGGACGGGCCTCTGCCCCTACTTTCTGTCCTTGGCTTACCAAGGCAAGAGGATGGGGTCTGGGCTCTGGTGTTAGAGACCTGGGTTCTAGTCCTGAACCTTCGCTTGAGTCAGTCCACCTTGCTCAGCCTCAGAGTCCTCATCAATAATAGTGGGAATCTCGTTGATACCCGCATCGTGGAGTTCTGTGAGTAATGGCCTGGTGCCCAAGTCACAAGGAGTGCTCAGTAAGTTCTAGGATTTATTTATGTTTTTAGCTGCTTCTAGAGCTAGGCTCTGCAATGTTCCCTTACCAGTAGCCAATTTGGGGGCTATTAGGTAGCATGGAGGTTGAGGTGCCGAATCCCACATGGCCAGCTTTGTGCTTTGAGTCTCGGATTCAGTCCCTTGAAAATCACGATGGATGCATGCTCATGTGTGCCCCCCCGAGACGAGAGTGGAGAAGGGATTGTGGTGCGGCCATACCCCCAAGGGGTAATTTCTCACTTTCTCTCTCTCTCAGTCTCCCCGGTGAGTGCATGCCCTGTAAGAAAAAGAAAGCAAGAACAAGCACCCGGTTCCCATGTGTTCAGCTTGTTTCTTTTCAGTGGACAACCACGACGGTCAGTTGTCCGTCACAGTTGTCCAGCCCTGGTGTGTGTGCAGCACCCTGACACGGCTGTGGGTGTGCCCAGAACGTGCACCTGTGGCCAAGCCTGACCCCTGCACCTGTGTGTATTTCCAGGCCTCGTGCCCACGGGCTGCCTGGCATCTGGGGGTCTCTTTGGAGCCAGGGCTCTTCCTGGCGAAGGCTGAGGCTCATTGGAGTTGTTGGGCCCCTCCATGACTGCGACAAACCAAAGTGAGTGCTGGTGGGAGGGGGGCCGAGGGGACCGTGGGGTCCCTTTAGCACTGGGGTTGGGGAAGGCCCTGCCTGTACCCCTCTGTTTTCCCTAGGAGGCCCATCTGGGGCCCACCCATAATGCTGTGTCCCTTTCTCTGCAGCTCTCATGGGGCCCTCGGAGCTCCCTACAGCATCGGCCATGACCCCTGGACCAGGCACTGGGGCGCGGGCATGGCCTGTGCTGGTTGGGGTTGTGGTGGGGGCCGTGGTCCTCTCTCTCCTCATTGCACTTGCTGCCAAATGCCACTTCTGCCGCCAGTACCGCGCCAGCTACCAGCACCGCCCGCTGCCCAGGTCAGGGAGGGGGAGCTGCCCAGAGGTGGGCGAAGACGAGGATGATGATGGCTTCATCGAGGACAATTACATTCAGCCGGGGACTGGCGAGGTGGGGACGGGAGGTAGCAGGCACCAGTTTTCCCTCTGAGTCACCAGCTTTGGATATTGTCCCTCCATGCCTTGACAGTAGTTCCTACATGGGAGCCTCCAGCCTCAGGGACAGAGGTGGCCAGAGGGAGACAACTCCCTAGTCCCTGCCACTAGCCACCACAGTGACAATGGCCCTCTCGTGCTCAATAACCCTCCATGGCTCCCTGCTGTTTTCAGGTTAAAGGCCTGAGTGTGGAAATCAGGTTCTCCTGGTCTCTTGGCTTCCTCTCTTGCCTTCCCCTACTTTACTCCCGGCTTAACTAAGTATTTCTTATTCTCCACGCCCCACGCTGTCTCTCCATGCACTTTTGCTCACGTTGGTCCCCGTGCCTAGCCTATCTTTCTCCTAAATCCTCGTGATGGTGGTCTGATCGGGACAGATCAAACGGGGATGAAAACCTGGTCCCTTGGCCCCAGGTGCCTTGCCGACCCGCGGGCATGTCACATGGGCCCAGGTGATAACATTTGGGAGACCAGCGCCCAGTTTCTCTCTGAAATCTTTTCCTTTCGATAAATGTGGTAATCTGGCTATGATGTGTTTTTCACAGGGATGAATGCGTCTGTTTTCACTTCGAATAAAAGTAAAAAGTCGTTGCTCATTTTTATTTCACTTGAATTGAGATTTATCACTCACATCTGGAAGTCGCTGTTGAGGATGGCACTTCCTCCAGGATGCCTTCTGTGAGTCCTTCTCCCTAGTAACACCCTGAGAGTTCCTCCGATATGGCCCTGGCCACATTTCATTTTCATCTTTGTCCTAGTTTATGCTTACCCTTGCTGTGCCTGTCCCCACTGCTAGGCCGTGAGCTCTCTGAGGCCCCGGGCTGTGCCTTATCAGGGCAGATCCTAAATAAATCCATGTGTTGGATTTGTCTGATCACTGTGGGCTGAGAATGAATAGGTGCAAGGTGAGGGAGCAGAGACGAACGTGGAAGGTTTTACCGGAGTTGTGAGCCAAGTATCCGCCACTGGCCGATCGGCTATGCCTGGAGCTGGGTCCCGCAGCACAGTTGTGGTTTGGGGAGCCCAGCTGTTTATTCCCGACACAGCCATGGTTCAGAGAGCCCAGCTGTTTGTTCCAGACCCTTCCTAGACAAGGGCAGACCTCATGAGCCAGTCCCCAGCCCCCGTGTGTCCATTGGACGCAGTTCCAGCCTTTGAGGAAGAAGGGAACAGAGGGAGGGCTCGTGTAGTGAGGGGGCTTGAGGACAAGGCATGAAGCTGAGAAAGCTGACGGGCCAGCAGATGGCGTAACGTTACATCACTGGACTCCCACGTGGCCGACGGTGGTTCGAGTTCCGACTCCAGTGACTTGAAATACATCAGCTGTCTGTGCGTGCCCAAGAACCCAGGAGGAGAACAGAGAAGAGATTGCAGCGTGGCCATCCTCCTGGGGGATGGCTTCTTGCTTTCTGCCTCTCTGTTGAGCACATGCATCCTATAGCAAATCTCTCTCTTTCTCTCTCAAAAATAAAACAAAGAAGGGCTGGAGGCTGGCGTCTGAGGGTCACGATGTCAGCGAGGAAGCCCAAGAGTGGACTGAGTCAGTCAGGGCCTTGGAGGCCAAGGTACAGAGGTCCCACCTCAACCTGAGGACAAGCAAGGCTCCCTGGGGACTTTTTTAGCGAGGGAGTGACATAATTGTGATAGAAGTCATTCTGGCTGCTGTGCAGAGACAGATCGGAGGAGAGAAATGGACAGAGGTGGCAAGACCTGACTAGGATGGGGCAGAGAATCGAGATTCCAGAGAGAGGAAGCGGGCCGCTGACAGGACCCCTTGCCTTTGAACCAGGGATGGCATCTGCAAACCCACCTTGGTTTCCGGCTTGGTGGGGGGTGGGGATTCAGAGAATCCCCAACATTGGGAAGGTTGGCTGTGGGATTTCCAGCAGAAAATGCCCAGGGACAGCTGAACTCACAAAGGAGAAGGCCAGTCTGTAGACATGGCTTGGGAACAGCAGTGAGAGCCCGAGTGAGTAAGACCACCAGCGGGGGGCAGAGTGAGCAAGAGGAGGCACTGAGGACTGAGGGGTCACATCTCAGGGACTGTTGGCAGAGGAGGGTCTGGCAGGGAAGACTGGGTGGGAGCAGCCAGAGAGGAGAGGAGCCCGACTTGCAAGGCCCCAACCCAGCAATCGTCTCGGCATCTAGGGAGGGTCCAGCCTTCTTGGCCTAGGAGGAGCAGAGGCCGCCCAGCCCGACACCCAGAGGTGTGCAAATGCATGCGGCCTGTCCCTGCCTGGTGTCCCCGACTCCCACTGCAGAGGGGCCACCCTGTGCATAGTTCCGAGCAGCAGAACAGCTCAGCTGTCCCTGTTTTCATACACTCTTTGGGACCTGAGTCAGAACTCCGAGGGATTCAGGAGAAAGGGCTGGGTCCCAGACTAGCAGTTGCTTTCCTGAGCCTTTCCCAAAAGGTCCGAGAGCTGGGGCTTCCTTTGGAAACCTGCCGCTGGCTGTCCAGGCTGGCTAAACAGGGCTTGGGGTCACAAGAACCATGCAGTCTGTCCTTCAAGGCCTCCTTCAAGTCCTCAGAGTCCTTCAAGTCCCACTGCATTCCACGTGCCTGGCCCTGGTGCAAAGAGGAGCAAGACCTGGGTCCACAGGCTTGAGGCAGGTGCTGAGATGATGGGAGGCCTGGGCCCAGTCAGACAGCCTCACTGGTCCATCCTCTTCTGGCTTCGGGTCATGGCCCCCGCTGGCCTCTGTCCCCAGCCCTGCACCTTGTCCTCCATTCCTCAGCAGCTGTCGTGACCTATTCTGCCCTGGGTACCCCAACCCAGACCTGACTGTGGAGGATAACCCAGCTTCCTGCTGCCTCCCAAGGCAAGACCACACCCCTGGTCCTGTGTGGAGGCCAAACGTGGGCGTCACAGAAAGCCACAGACACAAAGTTTAGAAACTCCAGCAGCATCCTAGCAAAGTAGCAGAGTGAGCTACGAGCACAGGTTACCTGGGTTCAAATCCCAACTCTGCCATCTGCGTGCTGTGTGACCTTAGGCATGTTACCTAACCCCTCAGTGCTCCAACTTCTCGGTAAAATGAGATCATAGTAGTGCTTAGCTCCCGTGGTGGTTGGGAGGATTAAACGAGTTATGTGTGTAGCAAAGGGCGGAGCTAGTGCTCTGCAGTGTTGGCTGTATCCCTGGGGCACCCCTAGGGCAGTCCCTCCTGGTAAGGGGTAACCCGTGTGGATCCCTAGGGGAAGCCTGCCAGACCTCCCCCTTCCTCCTCTACTTCTGTGCTGGGGATGTGAACATAGCTGGTGCCCAGAATGCAGGTGGGAAGCTCTGATCGAGACATCAAAGAATTTGAATTCGAATTTCTGATGCTGTAGGATGTAATTACAAAACGAATAGCAGCAGCAGCAGCAGCAGCTGCACTGGAGGCTGTTCTAGCACTTTCTTAGAACAGCCTTGCTGGGCAGGCAACCCCATTTTATAGTTTGAGAAGTTCAGGCTTGAACGAGTTAATGCAGTTGGCCTACCTCGGCCGCCAGAGCCTGTATCTCACCCCAAGTAATGGTGACGCAGACCCCGCAAGGGGCCCTCTCTGTTGATGGACCTTATTCCCACCTTCCCTGGGTCAGTTCCTTCTTCCCACTCCTTGAGCAAATGGGGGCCAAGACATTTCAAGGTGCCAGCCCCAGGTTTTAGGGAAAAGGCTCTGGGGGTAGATGGCTATGTCCCATCCTGCCGAGACCTGGTCTTCAGCCTGTGGCGCCCTCCAGGTCCCTGAGGTGACTTCCGAAGAGAGAGTGGAGATAGGAGGTAAAGACTCCCCTGTGCTCAGGGAAGTTTCACAGGCCCTGGAGAACAGTCTAGAAGGGCGGCCTGTGTCCTTGTGCCAGAAGCTGAGCATGAGGGAAGCAGGTGCAGGTTTCCTGGGGCCTGGAGAAAGCTTCCGTAGAAATACCCGAGCGTCTCTAGAAGGCAGGCGGTCCCCCTGACTAGACCAGATGTGCAGTTTCTAGAACATATTCTTCCAGTGTCCAGTATCCACGTGGCATGGCTGAGAACCTAGTTTGACTGTTTAGCCCTGGAGTGACATGGGTCGAGTTCTCTCTGTCTACCTCACCTGCCCCCGATGGGTCCTCTAGCTCAGACCACTCAGCCTGTCTCTCCGCCAGGCCCTCTTGTTCTATCTCTTCACCCAATACCAGTTTCCATTCCGGGGGCCATTATGGCAGCCTCTCTCTTATCAATATCTTCAACTCACTGGCCCCATGGTCTCACCACTGCTCACTGCTGGAAACGCCATCCTGTGGCCAACCGCTCCTGGTACCCACATCTGGCCGGTGTACACTGTAAAGTAAACCTCACCATCATCCAGGCCCTGGCAACTCCTGCTCCCCATCCTCCTCACGTGGGCTCTCTGAGCTCCCAGGAATCCTGTTGTTTTCTTGGCCAGAACCCTCTCCCCTCTCTAGAGTAGGCTCTAAAGCAGCCTCTACCTTGGAGAATACAACTGTTGGTCAGGACCTTCTTCCATTTGCGGCTACAGATTCTCAAATTTGGGACCAGCAAATGATTATGTCACTAGACTCCCATGTAGTCGATTGTGGTTCGAGTCCTGGACCTGGCAGGTTAAAACATACTGGGTATGTGTGCATGCATGCTCAGAATCCCGAGAGGAAAAAGGAGGAGAAGGGATTGCGGTGTGGCCATTCCCGCCCCCTCTCCACCCCCCCACGGGGCGGGTGAACCCTATAGCAAAAATCTCTCCATAAAAACAACCAACATACCAAATAAACCCTTACAAAGTCACCTGGATCTAGTCTTCCTTCTTTCCCGTCAAAGAGAGCTGTAGGCTACAGCCTGCCATCTGTGCCCTGGGTCCTGGTGCTGAGAGATTTTCCTTTACTCTAGCTCAATTATTTCTTTCTTCATTTTGAGTTTGAGTTTTTTTTTTTGTTTGTTTACAATTATTTCTTTCTTCATTTTGAGTTTGAGTATTTTTTTGTTTGTTTGTTTATTTTTGTCTTTTTTTTTTAGAGGTTTTTGCTATGGGGTGCATGTGCTCGCCAGAAAGAGAGAGAGAGACAGAGAGACAGAAAGCGAGAAATCATCCCCCCCCCAGGGGGGGCGGGTGGCCACACCGCAATCCCTTCTCCTCCATTCTCCTCTTGGGATCTTGGGCACGCACACACACGCCTGGCATGAGTTTAAGCCACGGGTCCAGACTCGAACCGTGGTCAACTACATGGGAGTCCAGCGACATAGCCATTATGCCAACTGCTGGTCCCAGAGTTTTAGTTGTTTTTTTTTTTTTGCTATAGGGCACATACACTCGCTAGAGAAATAGCCCCTTGTCTACACCCCCATCGTCTCTTGTCTGGACTATGCACTGATTTTTCAGGCTCTGCTCTGCTCCTTCCAGTTTTCAGTGCTGTGCGTGGAGGGATTATCCAAAAACAATTCTGACCAGGCCATTCCTCCTCTGAGAACCCGGTGCTGCCCCCTCTTGGCCGAGAGAAACTAGCCCGCTTGCCCTGGGACTGGCCCAGTGCTCCTTTCCAGCCATATAAGCCCTTAGCAGCTCCTCCAAGGGGCCAAGTCCTCTTGCCTCTGAGTCCTTCTTCGTGCTGGTCCTTCTTTCTGGGACACTGCCCAGTGTCCCGAGGTTGGCCAGCTGACATGGGCTGGGGCTGTTTGGCCATTTCTCCTTGATTTTCTCCTAAGGTCAGTCCCCAGCTCCACACAGCAGCCAGCCCAGTCCAAATCCTATTCTGGTCACAGCACTCCCTGATTAAATCTTCCCACATAGGTCAGTGTCCTGAGGTTAGAGTCCAAATTCTTTAGCTGCACTGACAAGGTCATTTGACAAACAGGAGCAGAGATTTGGTGGGAGCCAGGGAATGGAGCGCCCGGGCAGGCTCTCACTTCCTCCTGAAGCCAGTGTCTAAGCCGTGTGCTATCTGTACAGAGCAGTGGGGTGGGGGTGAGCCCGCGGGAGGGCGCGCCGACTGGCAGGGTGCAGAGAGAACCTGAGTGGAGCCAGAGCTGACCAGGGAAAGGCAGTGGAACCCGGTGGAGGTTCAGCCACAGTCAGGCCAGGCTGCCTGGCTGGGCTTGTCCAGCGTCCGATCACCGCTGGGGCAGGGCAGGGGCAGAAGACACGTGGACCCGCCCATGGGGGCTTAGGACGGAAGGGCAGGGGACTCAGGCATTGCAGGACCTGTCAAGGGGAGAATGAAATGATGGACCCCAGAATCTTTACCAGCTGGTAGGGAGGTGGAGCCAGGAGAGGCAGTTCAGGGAGAGAGCAGAGGCCAGTGACCACCGGTTACGAGGGTACACCACAGGGCCTTGGCGAAGGATCTGAGCAGGTGAGCTGAAGGCGGAAGGTTGGGGAAGCCTGCCTCAGTGATTGGGGGGAGGGAGGGCTGTTCCCGCCCTGCCTGTGCCCCACCGAGCTCTCACTGGCTCCTGCTGTGGTTGGGTGTGTTGACCTCCACCATCCTGTGACTTGGCCTTTGGGGCACTGGCCATATTCTCCATCTTGTATCCTTCCCAGGAGCTCAGGTGGATGTTTGCACTGGGGACCTTCCCCCCATTTATAGGTATCTGTGCTTCTGTTTTCCTTTAGTTTCTTAAAAGAAATATTGTCAAAGAGTCTAACTCTGTCTCAGCTGAAACGAAAGGGAATTTTCCTCACATTACAGGTCGGCAAGGGGTTCTGTGGCCTCTGGTGGCCCAGGAGTTGGTAATAGTGGCACAGTCCTCTTGGGAGCCCCAAAGAGAGAGTTTCTGGGGGTAGAGAGCCCAGGGCGCAGGAGGTGCAGGTTCAGGGCCACTGCTGGACAGGGGCCTAACTCCCCTACCCTTCCCAGTGAGAGGTGGGTCTCTCCCTGGTCTTTGCACACATTGCAAGCTAGAGTCCCTCATGCACCCAACAAGGCACCTACTCTGCATCAGGCCCATGCTGGGAACTAGGGATACACAGAGGAGCCAGACCCAAAGCCTGCCGGGCAAGCTCACCTCCTGATGAAGCAGATAGGCCCATGAAGAAGGATCGCAGGCTGGGTCCCATCTGAGAGTGCTAAGGCATAGCAAATGGGGGAGGGTCAGGGATGCTCCCCAGAGATGTGACTCCCCAGAATTCATGGACACCCTTTACTGTGATGGCTCAGGTGGTCGAGAGGAGGGCGAGACTAGAGCATGTTAAAGAGCCTATAAGGGACCAGCAGTTAGTGTAATGGCTATGTCGCTGAACTCTCATGTAGTTGACTGCGGTTCGAGTCCCGGACCCGGTGGCTTAAACTCACGCTGGGCACATGTGCGTGTGTGCCCAAGATCCCGAGAAGAGAACGGAGGAGAAGGGATTGCGGCATAGCCATCCCCCTGGGGGTGATTTCTCGCTTTCTATCTCCCTGTCTTTCTCTGTCTTTCTGGAGAGCTCATGTGCCCTATAGCAAAAACCTCTCCAAAAAATAAAAAATAAAAAACAAAGAGCCTATAAGAGGTGGAAGCCACAGAAAGAAGTTTTTCCCCTCCCAAATATATATATTTAATTTGCTAAAGGGTACATGCACTCACTAGAGAGAGATTGGGGGAATGAGAAATCACCCCCGGGGGGATGGTCACCTCAATTCCTTTCCTGTTCTCCTCTTGAGATTTTAGGCATGCACGTGCATGCGCTCGGCATGTTTTTCAAGCTGCCGGGTCTGGTTTTGAGCTGCGTAGTTGGCTATGTGGGATCTATTGCCTTAATTTCTACACCACCACCTGGCCCAAGATCATCATTATTATTGTTCATTATTTTTTTAATGATTGGGGTGGAGGATAAAGAGATAGAGAGAGACAGGTACCTTTGACCAGAGTCCTGCCATGTAGTGGTCCTCCTGCCCCAGTTCTCCAACTGGCTGGTCAGGCTGGCCCAGGATCCGAACCCAGGACTTCCATGTGGCCCTAGCATTGCACAGTAGCATTCTACCACCTGTGCCACCACAGCTGGGTCAGAGAGATTTTAAAGCAGATGTTTTTTGGGGGGCAGCAGGTGGTGTAGTGATTAAGGTGCTGGACACTCCCACATGGCCGAACGCAGTTGAGTCCTGGACTTGGTGGCTTGCTTTCTCACTTTCCTTTTCTCTCTCTCTCTCTGTTTCTCCCTGGCCAAATTAAAATAAATGAATGAATAAACAAAATTAAATAAATAATTGAAAAAGAAAAAAAGCAGATGTTTTAGTTTTAGGACGATCACTCTGGCTCAAGTGAATGTGTGTGTATGAGAAGGGAGAGGTGAATTAAGAAGAGTGGGCCGGCCCGAGGTGTGGTGGCTGGGCTGCTGGATCCCACGTGGCTGACTGTGGCTGACTGTGAGGTTCACGTCCCAGGTCAGGTGCCCTGAGAAACATGCATGTGGTGCGTGAGCATGCATGCCCACGATCCCAGAAGGAGAAATGGAGGAGAAAGGATTGTGTTGTGACCATGGGGTGGTGGTGGTGGCACTGCTTCACTTTCCCTCTCTCCCTCTCGCCGTGTCTCTCTGCTGAGTACACACCCTCTGGCAGCACTGCTTCACTTTCCCTCTCTCCCTCTCGCTGTCTCTCTCTGCTGAGTACACACCCCCTGGCAAAATCAAAAGAACAGAGAAGAGAGCACAGGTGGGGAGGAGAGTAAGGAGGCTGCTGGACAATCCAGGCAAAGATGAAGGGGCTCCCTTGGTCCAGACAGCGCGCATGAGGACACGGATGATCAGACATATGCTTATAAGGGAACTGGGCAGAGCTGGTGTACAGACAGAGGGGCGGAGACAGGGGAGGTGCCGTCTGGGATGCTGTGAGCTCTCTAGCCTGGATGCCAGAGTGGACGGTGGAGCTCGTTCAAGACGGAGTGGAGAGCATTCGGTGTGCCTGTGTCGAGCATGAGGCACCCCTGGGACCCCAGGGGAGACATTTCTGTGCTCGGACCTGCTCTGTCCTCTCCTGGGTCTTCCCATGTGGCTTCCTGCCTCTCCCTGCCCGGCAGCACAGCGTTTTCTTGGCACACATGGCATGCCTCTCCCTGCCCGGCAGCACAGCGTTTTCCCAGCACACATGGCTCACAGCATTGCCTGCCAGAAGCAGTGCTCTCTGCAGAGCCTCTAGGCGCTAGGGAAGGTCTCTAGGGAGACGGGCTCCTTTCCTGCCTCTCCACAGGGTTTGAAGCAGGAAGTGATGAAACAGTGACCTGTACTCCAGGAAGAGCCCCAGCTCGCCTCAGAAGGGGCGAGCCAGCAGGAAATGGCTCTCCATGCCCAGAAGCTCAGAAGCAGGTTGCTGGGGCAGCAGCTACACAGATGCAGGGAGTTCTGGCCTCAGAAGTGGAACCAGGGGCTGCAGCCTCCCCGCCCGCTGCAGGGAATCAGCCGAAGGAGACGTGTGGTCACTGGATAACAGCCCAGTGAGGCCTCGCCTTGAAGCAGCAGAGCGATGCCAAGGGCTCAGGTCCCCACCCCCACCCCCGCCCAACTTTTATGGGGACTGGAAACCCACCACCTTCTCAAAGCTGAAGCTCCCTCTTTACCTAAGAGGCTGAGGCCTTCAGGGCGCTGTTTAGAACGCTGCAGGGTGGGGTGTGGGATCGGGGAAGGAGGGTCTCAGAGGTGAGTGGTGAGGTGAGACAATGACAATGACAATAGCAGCCCCCATTTTATTGCACATCTACCATGAACCCAGTCCTTCCCCACACCTGATGTTCCATCCCCACAGTAGACTGTGTTCGGGAGGCCGAGGCTAGAGGCTGAGTCACCGCCCCGAGGGCCCGCTGCGGAGCGCCCACTGCGGGATTCGGGTCCAGGCCTGTCTCATTCAGAGTCTGTGTTCTTCCTGCTTTGCCACCAGTTACCCTCCTTGGCGAACGGTCACTGGTGCGGTCTCTGTGGTGGGCTGCAGAGCCCCCCCACCCCCATGGAAGTTCCTGATCGGAGTTACAGGCTAAGGCTGGATTTGAGGGGTGTTTGAAATAGGAGTCAAAGGCTGGCCCTGTAGTCTAGTGGTTATGGGAACCAGATCCCATGTGAGCCACTGCGGTTTGAGTTCCAGCCCCAACAGCGTGAAAGATACCCTGGGCGCTTGTGTGTGCATGCCCTAAACCCTAACAGGATGGGAAAATGGAGGAGGGATTGCACATGATCAACTCCCATTGGGGGGTGCTTTATCCCTCCCCCACCCTCTCTCTCTCTATGTGTCCTCTGGCAATAAAACACGAAACTCATAGGAAATAGGGGTCAAAAATCTTCAGGGACCTCAAATGTTTCTCTGCACAGAGGCCCCAGACATAGGCAGCTCCACAGACACAAGCACCCTTCCAGAGAGGCACACGCTCACCTTCCATGGCATGGATATGTGGGTCATGTGGGCTCCTAATCCCACGTCAGGCCACGCCACAGAAGGGCTGACACGGCCCTGGGGACACAGACACACTCGCCATCCATGCACGCGCACATGGGTGCCTGTCCTGGCACAGTTCTGGGGATGTCGGGACAGGTCGTGGTCAGAGGTTCTGGCTCCCTCAGATGAGGCTGGCGATGCTGGATGTGGTCTCGTGGCGCTGACCAGCAGAGAGCTGTCCTGAGATGCTGAAGACGCTGCCATCGCCACGGTGGCCGCTGTGGTTGGAGGGGGCGGCCGCACGGCTGGAGAAGCAGTGTCCACTCACGCTCACTTGGTAGAGCAGCAAGCCCAGCAGCAAGAGTGAGCCCAAGGCCGCCAGAGCAATGGCCACAGACAGCATGGCAGCCAGGGGCCGAGCAGGAGCAGGGGCGGCAGCCAGCCCAGCCAGGGTGAGGCCGGTGACCAGCAGCACGAGGCCACTGAGCAGCACCACGAGGGCATCTGCGCCCCCGCCCCTGCGCAGCAGGGCCACATGGTGGGCCTGCCGGATGCAGTTCATGTCCTGCACCGCCGAGCTCATCAGCTGCTTCACCAGAACCAGCAGGGCCAGCAGACAGAGCACGGTGCCCGTGGCCAGGCGCCACTCACCTGAGCGGCTGCTGGTGGAGGACAGCAGCGCCACACCACCTGCCCCACAGCCCGCCACAAGCCCCACGGCCACGGTGAAGCAGAGGGCCGAGCGCCGCGGCTGCTGGGAACACCACAGTTCCACCTGTTCCGCCAGCACATCCGGGGGCAGCCCTCGGCCCACCCGGGCATGAGCCTCTTGTTCAGTCATGGCTTGGTCAGGCAGGGGTCAGGGCAGAAGGTCGGCGTCAGGAGTCAGAGGGTGCAGGTCATGGCCTGGTGCCCCCACCTCCTGCTTGGCGGCTACAGGCCCAGAGCCCCACTCCTGTCACAGTCCAGGCGCTGGCCACCATCACCTGCCGGAGAAGGATCACAGTGTTACCTCCCCAGCCCACCTGCGTCTCATGGTCTCACCAGGGAGCCTTGGGGAAGGTCCCTGAGAGTCCTCCCAGTGTCCCTTGAAATGCCCCTGGGAAAGCCCCCTCCTCAGCACTGCCCCTTGGGAATGGCTCTCCAATGCCCCCCCCCCAGGGTACCCCCTGTCACTCCTCCAGGGAATCCCCGTGCCCAGCCCCTGACCTCTTTGACTCTGGCTCTCTCAGTTGCCTGTCCCATCCCGGCTGGCCGAGGGAGCTGGTGCCACGGTGGACGATGGGACGAACAGCCACGGATAAAGCCTCATTCAGGATCTACTCACATGGCCTCAGCTGTCACCACTGGTTCCTGGGGGGAGCTGTGGGGAGGGAGGGGTCTCATGACTTAACCCTTCTGGAACCACTGGCCTCACGGCTGTGTCTCCTCGTTCTCTGTGGGCTCAGATCTGACCCCTAACACACTGCCACCCACATGTCCCATCTCGTCTCACAGCCTACGGCCAGGACTTTGGCGATGAAGCCACCTGTTCCCAAATCCCTCTCCAGCTCAGATCTCCCTCCCGTCAGTTGTCATCCTGATGTCCCACAGCCACGTCTGATGCAACAGGTCCCAGCCCGAACTCGTCATCTTGCTCCAAACCTGCTCCTCCTCTTGTGCTCCTACTTCAGAGTTGGCACTGCCACCCTCTCAGCCACCAGATTGACTCCTCCTCCCTCCACATCTGTTCCCCACCCGGACTCTGCCTCTGCATGGTTCTCCGCTGGCCCCCTGCCACTCCTGCCTCCTCACCCCTGCCCCCACCACTGGTCTTCCTGTCCCCCACTTCTTCTCTACTGCTTCCTTCCCATGCCATCCTCCTCGGATTCTTGCAAGTGGTGCAAAGGAAAAGGGAGGACTCTGGGTTTGAACTTCAGCTCCAGGCCTTCCCACAGTGGGAACCTGGGCGAGGGACCTGCTGGTGGTTCTCCTGTAACCTTCTTTAGAGGACAATCAGTGCGACTCCTACCAGGCAGAAAATCAAACAGACATGTGGTCCCTGCTCCCCGGGAGCCCAGCTTGCAGCAGGAGTTGGAGCAGGCAGGTCTGTTACCGTGACAAGTGTGGTCAGTGAGCACAGAGCCCTGCAGAGCCCAGAGGGGGCTGGGGAGGGTCAAGGAAGCCCTAAGGCGATGAGTTCACCTCTTAGAGCTGGGCCTCTTTATCTGAGAAGTGAGCACAATGGCAGTTTTCTTGAGAGTGGAGGGGTTATTTAACATCTTCATGTCAGCTTCCATGGGGCCAAGAGCCTGCATAGACTGAAGGCGTGCTTTCTGAATCTGCGAATAGGATGTTACCCTTCTAACTCGAGACAAGAAACGCGTCCTGGGCCATAACAGGAATATGACTGCGTGGTTGTACACCTGTTGCACCTTGACAAGGTGCCCATTCTCTTTAACCCCTCCGTGGGTGCTGTCCAGCACACAGGTGGGTGGAGCAGGTGCCAATGCCCCCAAGGGAGGTGGAGAAGGGGCCATGGGCGGGGCCATGGAGTCAGTCCCAGCATTCCCCTGGGCTGGCCTGAAAGTGCTTGCACAGATGTGCAGGGACAGCAGGGCCAGGATGGGGGTGGCATGGAGGTTCTCGGGGAAGAGCCAGTGGGAGGAAGTGGGGGGCGGGTGGGGGAGTGGGAGGACTACGGGGCACTCACGAGAACCACAGACGTGCTGGATCCAATGGAGCGGGCAGGCAGGGCTGGGCAGGTGGGGCCTTCTGCTCTGTTTCCGGGGAGACGTTTCACCTGCCTAACCTGCACTCAGGTGAGCCTGGGGGGAGGGGGATTAACAGGTGTCGTTTCCAGGGCTGGGCAGGAGCCGATTGGCTGACGTGGCACAACTCCTGCAGCAGGCAGCGG